CCCATGCCTGAAGGCTACAAGATGCCCATCATGAGGAAGGGGAGGAGAGGGGCGAGTATTACAGACATGGGGATAGCATGTGCTAAGGTTCTTAGGTGGACATACATGTGGCAGGAAAGAGACTGATAGGAAAGGACAGGATTTGGTGTTTGATTGGACATTGTATCCCTGGTCCCTTGAATCACTGAAGTTGTCATGGATGGCAGGCCTTAGGGTAGAGCAGCGCAGTGAGCCTGGTGCCAAATCTTCCTCAGATGAAATGGAATAAGTAGAAGTATGTTAAATGACAAAGAGGCCAAGCCACACAGCATGAACTCTGAAGTAGGGTTTTCATACATAGGTAGGAGTAACATTATGCGGGGGCCTTAGGGGACCAGGAGGCTAAATCCTGGGAACCATCAGGAGAATGTGCAGCCTCCACTTGAAAGGGTGGCGGGAAAAGCAATATCCTCAGGGGACAGTCAGAAGGGGAAGGAAAGTGCAATGAGTAGACCGAGAACTTTGACGTTCATTTACCCAGGAAGGAGGGTCCCAGCGAGCCCAGGAGAAATGTTAGGAGGGAAGGGGGAAGGTGAGAACAAAGAAGGATGGGAAGCTACCTAACTGGAGTCGCATCAGGATAGTCACCACAGAAAACCAGCATATGGGTGGGCATACCTAAGTCCAAGATGTCTAAAAGAACGAACCCCAACAGTTACCCAGTGGATTAGAGGGTGTGCGTGCGTGTGTGTTGTGGACACCTTAATTTCCCGGAAATCAGTAACATCTGGGCTTTTTGGTCTGAGGGAGCCATGGTTTGATGAGGAGGACAGCCACAGGATTACTTCACTGGGCAGGCTCACACCCAACGTTAGACACAGGAACAGTTTCTGATAAGCTACCACACAGTTCTGAGTGCTTGAAAGAACTGGGTCCCGGGCTGGTCAAGAAAGTGTATTTCAAAAGTCTATGAAATGGGAGGCTCAAACCATGGCAAGGCAGAGTGTGACATCATAGGAAAAGGCTGACAGGGTTGAGCCAATGCAGACAGTTGCAGGGAAGGGATTCAACAGACCCACAGAGGTGGCCATTAAGGATTTCGTTAGAAAGACTAAGTTTGAAAAACAGGGCGTTAGCTGTGTGTAATTTCTCAAAAGGAGACTGAGATTTTAGAGTAAACTTTACATACGCTGTCTTGAGAGGCAATAGGCACTGGAGCCATGTGGACCTTAAGTAAATTACTTAACTTCCCTAAATCTCCTTTTGTTTCATCTGCTGAACAGTGCTAATTGTACATATTAATACAGGTTAGTGGTTCTCAAATTTTAACTTGAGACTAGCCTGGGATGCTAGTCTGAGGTCCCACCTACAGAGATTTCAGTTCAGCAGTTCTGCAGTGGGAGACCATGTCAGAGGATTGCTAGGATGATAACAAATGACTGTGCAGCACATGCCTGGTCCAGGTTGGCCACTGAAATTCACAAACGATCTCTCTCTATGGGTGGACCTAACACAAGGAGCAACATTCTCTGGGAAACTTAATTTTCTTTGGCATCACCGAAAATCAAAGCTTCTACTTAAGAATACAAAAAGCAATTCTTATACTTTTCAGAATACTTTGTAAATGGACAGATTTCATACTTCCTAGTTACCCTTATTACCTAGTTACAATGTGTGGGTTATAAAGTGGTGTCAACAACACAACAAATCTAAAAAAGTTGTTGATGAAAAACCTGTGAAGGAGAAGGTGTGAGGTTGTTTGATTGCAATTTACCAGCACCTTGTACAATCAGTTATTTTGGGCAATGAAATAAATAACTGCCGAGTATTGAGGTATGGTTGAAATTAATTTTCAATGGGATTACCAGGAAAATGTCTTTCGTTGGCTGATGCTTTAAACTATTTACCTCCAACACAAGTGTTTAGTGTTTGTGAAATGGTACAGCGAAAACTTCTGAAACCATGTTTTCAATGGATAATCTGAGTGTCTACAAACGTTCATGGGTTAAATCTGTGAATGACACTTTTAAGTGCAATGCAACATTTAATATAGAAAGTCCCACAACTAACGAATGTGGACAATCTCTCAGGTTCTGTTTAAATTGAATTCCTCTTTATTAAAATGATCAATATCAGCCCTGGTTTTATTTTCAGCTAAAGGTATCCTTTATAGATGGAAAAGTGCCCAGACAGCATGAAATATGATATGACTAGACTCTTGCTTGCTTTATCCCCTACTATGAGGTCACATAGTAGGTCCTCATTTGTGTTGAATACATACGGAAGGTCTAACACCCAGAATGGTTACAGCAGCAATTCTATGAAAACTTGCCATACTCTCAGATAACGTATTTGATATTTCCTTTAGAAGAGCAATTCAAGTGGTATATTGATTTTTAATAGATCTGTAAAATCAAAATACACATAATCAGCACTGGTAAAATCTTGGAACCTCTTGGCAATCAGCTTGTAGTGAATATATAATACTACCTCCTCCAGAGGGCTAAGGTGCTGGCAACTCTGACCTTCCTTACAGCAAGACTGGCCCCTGGTGGTGGTGAAGCGGATAGAATCACCATTCCGAGACAGAACCAGATACACTGCTGTCTTCCCCCATTTCCCTATTTTTCAGACCTCACTAGTTGGGGGAGAATGTTAATTTTTATTTTAATCATAGAACATATTCCCTACCTAAAAGGATAACATTCACACAGACATTTGTTTTAAACTTAAGCCAACTTCCCTGGAATGAATTTATTCCTTATATCATAATTCCTTACGATAAAACTTTTCTAAATCCTGCAGAATCAACATAGTGCTACTACACACTTTGTAAAGCCTCCAATCAATACATGAATTAAAAATTTTACCTTAAAGAAAGAATAATTTAGCAAAATATCAAGTTTTTGGCACGCTGATTTAGATTTCCTCATAAAAATGTTATTTCAAACTGGGTAAACTTGAGTCACTGTTCACAAAAGCATATCCTTTCATGATTCTTAAATTTTTAAATCTGACTTTCAAATAAAAATCGAGTTCCTAGAAAAAATTTTTACTTAGAAAACAACTTTCTGTAAAAGGCCATGAGAAGTGTTAGAATTAGGTTCTTGTACTTAACTACCTTTACATGATTTTACTCCTAAATATATTATGAATAATGTAAAATGTCACCAAGGATAGCCACCCACATTGCAGATAGTTTATATTACGTAAGTTTTAAATCTGGTTACATGGCACTACCTCTAGAAACGCAGAACTTCCCTTTTATGGGAAAAACAAAGCATCTAATTTTTTCAAAGATTTTGCTAGAGTCTTTCAGTGGGCTCTTTCTTACACAATTAGAATTTCCTTTTGACTAGCCAAACTGTTGAAAATTTAAGCTAATGCTCTTTTGAGTCTAATGAATCCATTTGCCTTGGGTTATAACTTTCAGATATCCTGTGAAAGGTCACACTGAATAGACACTTAATTCTTAGCTACTTGTAATTTCATTTTCTTCAATAAAAACATTAAAAACAGTAATTGGAATAAAAAGACCCTGTTAATGCTTGTAAGGTACAAATTGCTACATGAAGGTGAATTGTACGGTGACATTTAACATCCAAAAATCACTCTCAAATTCTGAGCTGGATTCATTTTAACTATAAATTTCGAAGATGGATTGTACAAAATCTAAGCCGAAGTACCTGACAATTTTCTTTCCCATTCTCACGTAAAGTCCAATTCATATTGAACTCAAAAGCCAAAAATAATTATATATTATATAAAATTATATAAAATGTTATGTACTACGTATATATAGACATCTTTTATTCTTATTGCGTATATATATGAATTCTGAAAGCTTTGTGGAATCTATCATAGACCTGAAAAATGTCTCACATGCATCAATTACATGTCAAGTAAAACTCACACAGGGTCTCATTGGTGAAGCTGATAAACTATCATGACCATATGTGTTTTGCTGCATCTATTTGGCTTTTATCACTGGACTATTTGTTGTGGAGCTGAACATCTTTCTTATGTGTTTTCCATATTGAATGTCAGGAGCAGAGGTTTTGTCTTTTTATTAGCCTTGAGCACCAGGCATAGTAAATTCCAGTATATTCTGGAATGAATTATGGATACAAACTACTCGAACTCAGGGTTTTAACTGATCCCTAAAGTCCTAAGGCAGAGAAGGGTAAGTTTACCTAGGGAGACCATCAAATATATCAAATGACTCCCTGTCAGGTGTTGTCCAGAAGCCAGCCTGTTGAATTTTATAGAAATTTTATCTTTCAGGGAGAAGTTGGTTGCCCCACTGACTAAACGCCTAATGCAAAAGTTCCCTAAAGCTTCAAACTCCTCTTAGGACTCTGTTTTGGGATTTTATTAACTCAAAGAAAATCACCAAATATATGATTCGGTACCGGGGATTGCCTGGACAGTACTTCAATAACATGGCCTCTTAACTCCATTTTGAGCAAGGGCTGAAGTTCAGAGAAAATAACAGATGTAGGCGATCAGGCCCTAGCTTTCCCTGACAAGTCCATTAAGAGAAAAGTAAAGGTACTGAAGATTTGTTTCTCCTTGTGAAGGGAAGGAAACATTAAGTTGCGCAGAAGAGAGCTGTAAATGTGGGACACCAGACTCACACTTGTTTAGATGTGGGTACTAGCTACAAGCAAGAAAGGAGAATTCTATAACTTCAGACTAGATCACTATAGAACATAATTTGGGAATAATCTGTTTTGATTCTGTGTGAATTTGCTTCAGTTTTAAAAGTAGTCAAAATCCTCTACATTTAGCTGATTTTTTACGAATTTATTTTCCAATAGAAGAGATTCATGTAATAAGGACAAGTTTAAAAATATAGAGAATATCTTATGAGTGAATGTCTACAATATGATGTCAGTACTACCAGAGTGCTGCTTTACGTACAGCAAAATTCCAAACTGAAATTCGCATTTTCCTTTTTAAACAAATTTTGGTACACCTTAAACAAATTTCTGATGTTATATATTAAATGGGTTCCAATCTTGATGGATATTAAACATTTTATTTAAAGATTTTAAAGTAAAAAGAAAGGTACACAAATACAGATTACAAGGCAGTATTCTACATGACAAATGTTAAAACAAAAATTAAAAAGTAAATGTACAAAGCAAAATACCTGATATCCAGTTCAGGCTGCATACACATAAAATGATCTGACCTCGTGCTTATACAAAATAAAATTTTTTTTAGAACACCAAAATTCCAACCATTCTATCAACTAACTGCCTTATTCCTCTGGTGAGTATTTTGAGAGAACTTGTATATAATATAAAAAGAATTGGCATGGCACTTAAAGACTACAAAAAACAGAACACAATTAAAAACATATTTGTAATGCAATTCTGTATAAAATATACACAGTAAATCTTGTTAAAAAAATATTTAAAAACAAAAGACCACCCTGAATAATGGTTAAAACCTCATCCCAGAAAAATGCTCATTTGTAACATTATAGAAAACTAACGGATTTTTTTTTGAAAAGATATCTAACTTGAAGAAGTCAACTGTTCCAAATTTATTCAAAATTGTAGGTAAGTTAGTAACTCACTGCCTACCCCTTCTCAAAATGTTTTATTGTGAACATTCTTTCTAATATTTAACTACAGGACAAAATAAAAGAATAACTCAAAAGTGTTTCTTGAAATGCAATTCAATTCAAAGGCCCAATGGAATTCTAAGGTAGGACAGTGATGTGCTTTTTAAACAAACCTCCTAAGTGATTGATTATTCCATTTAAAAATTTTACAACTAATGCCCTAGGGGAAACATCAACACTTAAAAGCAAGACCATAAACATATTTCTGATATAAGATATCAGAATTTTCTGTAAATTTATGATTTGAAGTGAACCCTGTTTTTTCCTTTTAAAACAAATTTCAGGTATTAAAAGAAACATATATACCTCTTAAATAAACATGTAAATGTATAGAAACATTTTCCTTTAAGGTTTTCATTGCTTTCAGACTTAGTTAGTTGAAGAAAAGAGAGTATATGGCCAGAAACTTTGGGAAAATTGCATTTATAACGAAATGTGGCATCCCCCCCCCAAAAAAAAATAATTTATTAAATGCCTACAAATTTTAAATCATGCTAAGTTTAAGACTAGATAGCTTTCCCCAAAATTAAATTTTACTAAGATTGGGCAATTTTAAGTAATTTAAATGATTATGGTTACTTTTTAAGTCCCTTTTCATAAAAAAAATATTTAAACAATAGAAGAATGCTATCTCTGGCATTCTGTTAAATAATACATTGCTAAATACTAATATTAATAAAAAGTAATCTGAAAAACTCTGCCCTTGAAATGTATTGTACTCTGTATTACATGTGTTACCTACTTAACAAAAACTCAGTTAAGGAGCTGGAACTGTGATGTGAGAGTGTATGTGTATGTCCTGAACATTTATTCATGTTTATTATTTTTCTTGGCTTTCACTGGACTCCACAAACAGGGTCCAAAAGTATGGATAATGTGATTTGGGGGAAGAAATAAGCATGGTTAACACGTTGTGTGGAAGATAGGTTCTTTTCCTGTGTACTAAATTATAAGGAAAAAATAGCATACATTCTGTCTCCACTGGATAAATGGAATGTTTTTACAAGTCTGGTAACAAGTGAGTGCCTTATTATTTAAATCAAATCACAAAAAGCAACTGCGGGATTTACTTTCCAGTAAGAAATAAATATTACCATTGCACTTTTCTGTATCTATTTTAAATTTCTATTTTTTTCCTTTCTACATACTGAGAAATTTTCCATTCAACAGCATTCTGAAGCCTTTGAACTACATTTGTTAACATTCCAGTTAAAGTTCTGACTAAGGGGAGAAGCTCAGAAGCCATCCCTTTAGTACTTTAAAGAAATCACTTGTATCATCAGTTTTTAAAAAATAGTTAATGATTTGGAATCTAATTCTTAATAAAATATGCCTATTTTTCTTCCTCAAGAAGTATCTGTGTTCCCTAATTCTAAGCAAGCAACGACTTTTACTACCAATTTTATAACTGTTGCCTTAAAAATCAATAATTATCCAAGGCAATGATAAACTTTACAGCTGCATTTTTAAACACAAAGAATTCAGAAAATAATAGATAATATAACAAGTTGTCATATTTTGAATTAACCTTTTATTCCAAAATTAAACACTTAAATGACTTAAGAATGACAAAAATCATGGGAGGCTTGTGATGTAATCCCACCACGTGCCTTACGCAACGGACACATTTTAGAAGCAGTGGTATTTCCTTCAAACAAAAAAGACCACTTCGTTACTCATCAGTAGGCTGCTAGATTACCAGTATAACTAAATTTTGACACAATTATCTGGAAACTAGTCTTAATTTTTTTTTCATAGTTAAACTTAGATGTAATAATTGACTCTTACAGTCAATAACAGAAGATACTGAAGTGCTTTTTTGTAGGTGGCAAATATAAAATGGTTCATTGTATCCAGGCTGGTAACAACTTTTCCATGCATTAAATGGCAACACAGGCAAATGCAAGTTGTAAAATGAGGATCAGACGCATTCTTCTGCAGACATCAAAAGAGGATTGATATACTCGAAACCTTCAAATTCAGACTGGTCAATCTTCCTCACAATATCACTGTTGGGAAAAAAATTAAATTTTCATAATCAAGATTTCTTCACTTTTTAATTTAAATGGTAAAATAAGATTAAGAAACAAAAAATAAGGCTAATTTATAGAAAAAAATTTTATGAGTTTTTTTAGATTAATGCCAAAGCATTTTCTAGAGGAATCAAAAGTACTGCAAAGTAAAACAAGACTAATAAACTCATAAGCAAGCCTACACCAAAAGGTAGTCTAAAACTGAAGACTGGGAATAAGAAAGGCACAAGTCGCAATTCTAGTTTATCTAAACTTTTTCTTTTTTAAAGATTTTTATTGGGGAATTGGGGGAAGGGGAACAGACAAGTTGCTGTCCTTTTGTTCTTCAGTCTAGTTGTGGAGGATATTGCTTCACTGGCCCAAGTTGGCACCATCATTGCGCTCTTCCCGGGCGAGGCAGATCAGTCGCCGGCTTCTGGACGGCTGCTCACTGTGGCTGCTGGCCGCTCACGCTGGCTGCTGGCTACACACGGTAGCCCATGGCAACCCACTGCCACAGGGGCTGCAGCCTACGCCGTCCCCAGCGACTCACGGCAGCCCAGCTCCAGGTTGAGCTGTTGTTCAGCATCTTAGCTGTAGAGGGCAGTGTCACTGGCCCTCATATGTGGGATCCGAACCGGGGCCCTCCCTCTGGCGTCCCAAGCCAGCTCTTAACCAATGCCCTGAACTTTTGACCTGAACAACATTCATCATTACAGGTAAACATCCAGGTCTGAATTAGTATTCAATTTAGTAGTCACCTCAACAGCCAGATGGGAGTATGGCGAGAAGGCCCAGAAGTTAACCAAAAGGAAGAGGCAATGGGACGAGTACACTGAGAGCCCTGGAAGAAGGAGAGAACCCCAAGGAGAGGTGATGGTCCATGGAGAGAGAGGAGAGGCTGACATCCTGTTACATGGCTTGCAGTTCATACATGATGGGAGTAGTGCTTTGAAGATTTTAATAATGGTATACACAGTTACACAGGATATAACAGACCTTTCACTCAAGGAGGGAAGGTAGCCCATGTAACAAAGCTATAAGAGAAAGCAGTATCTGCTAAGTTTCAGACAGGACAAGCTAAGTCCTGTTCTAACCACAGTTCTAAAGAAAAGGGTGACTTCCAGTTGGAGAAATCAAAAAAGGCTGCATTCGTTCCACAAACTGACTGAATGGAATTCTGAAAGGTTATGCTAGGTCTGGGGAAACACAACTCATTTATTTGAGCTGGAGTAGAGGAATAAAAGGGTGCTAAGTGGCAGATGATGCTGGAAGGGAGGTAATGGAAGCTCCAAGAATCCACTGATGTCTACACTAAGGAGTTTCACCTTGATCCATCAAAGATCAGGCTGCACTGGAGATAGTTCTGAAAGATGGGCACGGTTTCAATAGATAAAAATGAAGCGGAAATATAGAGGAAATGGCACAAGCACAGGTTAGCAGCACACTATCTGGGAATGGTGAGTGACTGAAACTGATCAGAACACAGCGCTTGTGTTAACAAACGGGGACAGGTATGGCTAGAAAGTCAGGCTGGAGCAGAGGGCCTTAAAGGCTAGCCAAGGCGATAGATCATATCTTCTAGGCATTGCAGGAGTTATTATACTAAAGGTTTCTGACTTAAGGATTTAAAGAACTGGAGTGGTACTTCATGAGGTGTACAGAATGGGATGCAGAGTAAAGAAGGAGCCCAGTTAGGAGGATGGCATAATATTCTAGGTATGATCTGAAAGAGGTCTGCACTGGGCTTATGTAAATGCAAAAGGAAAAGAAGGATCTGATGCAAATGATAAAGTAAAGGAAAAATAGACTGAACTTGGCGGCTGCAGGTATTATACAGTTTGTTAAGGAAAAGGAGTCAACAGTCACTGATATTTGGAATCTGAATGCAGAAATACATGGTGATGCAATGAGCAGAAAAAGGTAAATAAAAACAAGGAACTGATTGAGAACAGAAAAAGAGGCCATAAAGAGTCATTATTTTGATTTCAGACTTCATGTTTGAGGCGCTTCTGTGACAAGCTAGGGGAGGTGTTGCCTGAAAGCAGATAGAAATGCAGCGCAGGATAGATATGGGGTGGGGGCTAGGTGCTTTAGAAACCATCGCTCATTTATTCTTCACAGCAACCTCGTGAGGTTGGCACTATGAGAAGAAATAGGCTCAGAGAAGTTATGCAATTCATACCCAGGTTACCCAGCTGGTAAGAGGTGGCATCTGGATTCAAATTCCTATCTTTTGGTTAAATCCAATGCTCTTTCTCATATACACTACTATCTGAAATAATGGTTTTGGTACATATCTCTCTTCTCTAGCAGACAGTGAGCTTTTTGGCCTATGTCTTGATCATCTGTGAATGTCTAGTACTTAGCATAGCGTCTTTCGCTCAATAATTGTTTGCCAGTTTAACTGGGAGTCATTTAAATAGCTGGTATCCATGCTACAGGGCTGGCTGCAATCTCCAAGGTACGCACTGCAGATGGCAAAGAGAAGGCTGTCATGAACAGAACCATGCAGCATCCTAGTCTCAAGGGGCCAGGGCTAAAAAGATGACAAGCGGTCAGAGAGATGAAGTAAAGCCAGGATGGGTGGTGCCAACCAAAGCAAGGCCAGGAGTGCCAAATGCTTTACAGGCTTCAGGGGAGATGGGAACCGATCAAAAAATGCCTTCAAATTTAGAAATTAATTAGTCATTCAACCTTCAAAAGCTGAAGGAGCAGGTTAAATTGTAAGAGGTTAGTGTTGGCCGTAACAATCAATGTTGACTACAATCAGTGTTGGCCACTCTAAAGGCATTTGATGAGATAGTGCTTATTTTTCTTTTATCACGAGCATCTATTAACTATTTCTGAAAAATCTTACAGATGAAAAAATGAGAAAAGAAAATGTGGTGATTCAAAGAAGTGCTAAGATTCAGGGGAAAAAATACAATATCTGAGCATGCTTATAAGCAGAGGGAAAGAAGCTAAAGAAGAGAAATTACAGGTGTTGCAAAGGAGGCAAGTGTCGAAATGAAATCTTGGAGGAAAATAAGGGAACAAGACTAGGAAAATAGGAGGGCACCCCTTGCAAAAGAAGGATAGCCTTCCAAGCTTAGGGAAGCAGGAAAAGTTGGAGAAGAGTTAGAGAGCAATTCTGAGATGCGAGGTGGTCTGGTGACAGCTGAAAAGGGAGCAGGCTCACACGACGGAGGTGCCAGTCCCTGCAGTCAAGTGCAGGCAAGGTTAATCCATGGAGAGTGACAGGGGTTGGGTGGGACTGAAGGCTTCTAAAATGTACAGTTTGGGCCAGCTGCTGTGAGGAATGGGATAAGAATTAACAAGATGTAAATGACTGCCAAGCAGTAAGGGCCTCCTTAAGATGAGAAAATGAATCTGTAATGACAGGTAAATGATCAAAATACCCCCAAATTATTCTACACCATATTTTTAAAAGATGTAACATAAACACAAAAAATAAGTCAAATCACTACTGGCTGGACTTGGTAAGTTGATGTAATCTTTTAAAAAAGCAATCTGGCAATGCATATCAAAAGCTATAACACTTCATACCCTTTGACCTAATTCCCTTTCTGGACTCTATCTTAAGGTAACACTCAGGAACTCAGACAGATGGAACTCAGGAGCTCAGGTCCATTTTCCACCAAAATGGAAAACAGCGCAGCAGTGGGAAGAGCACAGGCCCCAGTCACCCAGACTTGGGTCTGAGCCCCGCCTCTGCCACCTGATAGCTGAGTAGCTTTGCTTAACCTCTCTGAGCCTGTTTTCTCACCTGTAAAGCGAAGATGACAGTAACTAGGTTGTTGTGAGAACGAGAGATAATGCATGTAAAGCAAAGCAGAAAATGGCAGTTGTTATAATTTATACTAGTATAATAGATTCAAATACCCTGTAACTGAATGGTTGGATAAATTATAGTATAACATGATAATGAGACATTGTATAGCCACTAAAAATGGGACTTCCGAAGAACTTTAAAAATATTTCAGTGTGGGCCGGCCGAGTGGTGCGTTGGGTAAGAGCTGGCTTGGGATGCCAGAGGGCCCCTGTTCGGATCCCACATATGAGGGCCAGTGACACTGCCCTCCACAGCTAAGATGCTGAACAACAGCTCAACCTTGAGCTGGGCTGCCGTGAGTCG